GTGGTAACCTTGAGACTGGCACAGAGCCACAGGCAATAGTTCATGTTAACTTAGTACCACGTACTTACAGTTACCGTAGTACGTTTCCAAAGAGAGTCAACTTTTTGCATTTGGATGGGTATGTTTTGGGAGATTGTACTCCTGCTCATAGGTTCTCTTAGGAATTCAGATGAATGCTATAAATCCTATGACCCCATCGCATGGGATGTGTTCCATGGACTGTGAAGTACCAGCTTGGATGAAGGGACCCTGTGATGCTGGAGTGTGTTGACCAGCAGGCCCAGTGGCGTGGCTTCCTAGATGAGCACCCCTGAATGTGCTAAATGACTCCTTTGATTCTACCAGATGTTTCCAGCGCTCTCCGTGTGCAAGAATACAGTTAGGAAGCCACTAGATGCTTCAGCACTGCTGCCAGTGGAAAGAGAATCTGGAAGGTTCATTATCCAGAGTGTGCCCCTTCCAGATGTAAGGGGTTTGGTAAAAACTGCTAGTTGTGGAATATATCTATAAATATATCTTTATGTCTCTACAAAGTTCCTTTTCAGTAGGAGATTTAGAACATGAATTGTACTAGCAGAGTAATGGATTTGGTTAAAATACACAATTATCACCTATTACACTTAAATTACTTATAATGGACCAGTTCAAGATCATGTCAGAGCAGGCTCCTAAACTCACCTCCTCCCAGGGACACAATGAATCTACAACAAACTTATGGAATAATTCCCTCTGAAAGAAATCCAGAAACTAGCTGAGTGTCTGCACATTGGGCAAATGAGAAAAAAATACACACTGAAATGGGCAGGGGAAGCTGAGACACAATCTTTTCATAAACCATACCCCCAGCACAACACACCACCTGGGGGAACTCACACCTCCCAGCTTCTCCCTGAGGAGTGAAGGGTTTGACCCTATACCTGGTGCCCCAACTCCTAAGATTGAGTAGTGGGCATTCAAATTATCTAGCTTTGAGAGCTACGGGGCTTATGTTCACAAGACCCACAAGGCTACATCAAACTCGAGATAATTCTTAAATGTTGACTCATGGTGTCTAACTCTGGAGGCCCCAGCACAGATGTAGCAGACAAAAAGAAGCCCAGTCTTACTGTGGAAGAAGTATAGTTGCTTATCTTAAAAGCTTTGACTTTGGGGGAAGGTTTCTAATTTTACACACATCTATGGCCAACTGCAGAGCAATCCAGAGTCCTTAGTGGCCTGTGGGTGCCATCTTCGTGCCCTTTCTCACCTCCATCTTACTTTGCTGATGTCTCTTAGAAAGAAGCTTGTACACATGTCTGTTATCCAGCTTTTGCTGGTGCCACATAGAGGAAACATCCCTTCATAGCCTGGCTCTGGTGGTAGCAGGGCTTGTATTCAGTTTCAACAGGACAGTAGCAAACAAACAATTCTTAACTGGCTATCCACCCAGGGCTCAGTGCACATATAGCTGAGAGAAATGCCCATCTCCCAGTCTTCCCCTGAAAGAAGTATATTTGCATACTTTAAATGCTGCTGCCTGAAAGTCCAGCTTCCAGTCAGACTGCATCTAGGTGCTGACTAAGGCCCTACACTTTGGGAAACTGATAGGTCTTGGCACAACTGAACTACTGAGAGCCACTAAGAATAAGAAGGCTGCTGGGACAGTCACAAAGCTGTGAGAGACAACTAAGAGCTAAGGCAGAGTTAAATGACAAGGTTCACCTCCTACTTGAGGCTGCTCCTTCAAGACTGGGAGAAGTAGCTGTTTTATCTAATACACTGAAACCAGCACAAGGACTCAAGGAAAACAAAGCAGAGAAATATATTCCAAACAAGAGAACAACATAAAAACTCAGAAAAAGACATAATGAAATGGAGATAAGTGATTTACCTAATAAGAATGAAAAATAATGGCCATAATTATGCCAAGTAAAATAAGTCAGACAGAGAAAGAAAAATACTAGGTGATATCACTTATATGTGGGATCTTAAAAATACAACAAGCTAGTAAATATGACAAATAAACAAAAAAAAGCAGACTCACAGATAAAGAGAGCAAATTAGCAGTTGCCAGTGGAGTGTGGGGAGGGGCAATATTGAGGTGGGGGACTAAGAGGTACAAACTATTAGGTATAAAATAAGCAACAAGGATATATACAACACAAAGAATATAGCCAATATTTTATAATAACTATAAATGCAGTATAACCTTTAAAAATTATAAATCACTATATTTTACACCTGTAACCTATAATATTGCAGAGCAACTATACTTCAATAAAAAGGCTAAAAAAATAATAGCCATAGAGAAGCTCACCATGGTTAGAAGAACAATGCATAAACACTGTAAGAATTTCAACAAGGGATAGAAAATATAAGACAGTACCAAATGTAGATACAGAGCTGAAGAATACAAGAATTGAAGTGAAAAATTCAAAAATGGTTCAACAGCAGAATAGATGAAGTAGAAAAATGGATCAGCAAACTCAAAGACAAGGTAGTGGAATTCATCCAATCAGAGGATCAAGGAAAAATGGGGAAAAAATTAATGTCAGCTTAAGGCACTTATGGGACAACACTATGCAGATCAATAATCACATTACAGGGATCCAAGAAGGAAAAGAGAGAGAGAAAGAGGCACAAAACTCACTGGAAGAAATAATGGCTGACGACTTCCCTAACCTGGGGAAAGTTACAGACCTCACAATTGAGGACCCAGTGTGTTCCAAATAAGATTAATCCAAAGAGATTCACATGAAGACACCTTATAATCAAATCGTCAGAAGTAAAATAGAAGGAGAGAATCTTAAAAGCATCAAGAGAAAAATAATCTGTTACTCACAAGGACCTACAAGACCATGAGTAGATTTTTCAGCAGAAACCTTGCAGGCCAGAAGGGAGTGGGATGGTATATTCAAAATTCCGGGGGTGGGGGGGGATTGCCAACCAAGAATATTCTACCTAGTAAAGTTGACCTCTTAATTGAAAGAGAGAGCGTTTTCCAGACAAGCAAAAGTTAAAGAAATCCATCACCAATAGACCTCCTTACAAGAAATATTAAAGAGACTTCTTTAGGCTGAAACGAAAGGACACAAAGTAGTACAGGAAAACATATGACAGTATAAATCTAACTGGCAAAAGTAAAGATATAGTTAAATTCAGAATTATCTACACTTAAAATGGTGATGGATTAATCACTTATAAATCTAATATGAAGGTTAAAAGACAAAAGTAAAAAAACTATAACTACAGTAATTTGTTAATGGATACACAAGATAAAAAGATGCAAATTGTGATATCAAAAACATAAAATGTGGTGGGTTGAAGAGTAAAAAAGTGGCCTTATAGAATGTGTTCAAACTGAAGTTGTTTTACACTTTAAACAAACTGTTATAAAGATAAGGTGTTTTATATAAGCCTCATGGTAATTCCAAAGCAAAAGCCTATAGTATATTTATAAAGTATAAAGAAAAAGAAATCTAAGCATATCACTACATAAAATTCTCAAAGCACAAAGGCAGAGACAGGGAGAAAAGAAGGGAACAAAGGATTGCAAAACACCCAGAGAACTATTAATAAAATGGCAATAATAAGTACATATCTATGGGAGAAGGTATAGCTCAGTGGTAGAGTGCCTACTTAGCATGCACAAGGTCCTGGGTTCAATCCCCAGTACCTCCATTAAGAAATAAATAAACCTAATTACCCTCCCACCAGTAAATAAATAAATATTTTAAAGTGCTTAAAAATATTTAAATAATCTTTAAATGTCATATATATAAATACATATATGAATACTTTAAATGTAAATGAACAGTATTCTCTGTTCAATGACACCGAGTGACTAGATAAAAAAGCAAGATTCAACTATATGATTGCACAAGATACCTCAGCTTTAAGGACACACACACCCTGAAACTGTAGTGACGGAAAGATATCCCAAGCAAATGAAAATCAAAGAAAGCTGCGACAGCTAGTCTTATATTGGACAAAAAAGATCTTAAGACAAAGAGTGTAATAAAAGACAAAGAATTTTGTTATGTAATGATAAAAGGGTCAACACAACAAAAGGATATAACATTTGTAAATATCTGTGCACCTAACATAGAAGTACCTAAATATGTAAAACTAATATTAACAGATCTAAAGAGGGAAGTAGCCAGCAATACAATAATAGCAGGGGACGTTAATACCCACAATCAGCAATGGATAGTTCATCTAGAGAGAAAATCAGTAAGGAACCATTGCACATATATGGCGTGTGAGGCCAGATGAACCTAACAGATATTTACAGAACATTTCATCCCAAAGCAGCAGAATACACATTCTTTACAAGCGCACATGCAACATTCTTCAGGATAGATTATATGTTATTTCACAAAAAGAATTACTGATACATTTAGGAAGACTGAAATCATATCAAACACCTTTTCTGAAAACAATGGTATGAAACTAGAAATGATTACAGGAAGAAAACTGGAAATTCACAAATATATGGATATTAATCAATATAGTGCTGAACAACCAAATGTTTAATGAAGAGATCAAAAGAGAAATAAAAAAAAAACTTAAGATAAATGGAAATATAACAACCAAAACTTATAGGATGCAGCAAAAGTGGTTCTAAGAGGGAACTTCACACCAATAAATTC